GGCAGACCTGATCAAGGGTCTATTGTCTGCCAAGATGATCAATTATTACAGATCACCATGGGCCTCCCCAATCGTGGTGATCATTAAGAAGAATAGGGCTCAGGCTATGCATTGATTATCGGTTGGTTAATAGCCTGACACAACTGATGGTATACCCAATGCCCCTGGTCAACGATTTACTCGAAGACCTGGAGTCGACACTCTGGTACTGTTCTTTGGATATGGCAAGTGGATTTTGGGTGGTGAAAATGACGGATCGTGCCCGTTTGATTTCGGCTTTCGTTACTCCTTTTGGCTTATTTGAGTGGAATCGAATGCCTTTTGGCCTGAAGAATACGCCCCAGATCTATCAACGTATGGTCGATAACGCGCTATATGGGTTCACCCGGATCCCGAAGTCTGAAGGTCACGAAAGTACATCGGACGTGTTTGAGGACGGGGAACCGGTGGATCCAGGCAAGCCTTCGGTGCTTGGTCGCAGATCATATATCGATGACATCCTGATCCCCGCCGACAACTGGGATCAACTATGCGACCGAGTCGAGGGGTTGCTCGAAGCGTGTGATGAGTGGAATTTGTCGATCAGCGTGGTTAAGAGCTTTTGGGGAATGCCTAAGGTGGAATATCTTGGGTATAGGGTCTCGCACAATGGACTGGAGGCGAATCCGAAAGATCTGTCTGCATTGACTGATCTAGCCTTTCCAGGATCACTCAGAGCTATGCAATCATTTTTGGGAAGTCTGAACTATTATAGCCGATTAATTGAAGACTACGCGATCTACGCGTCAGTTCTGTACGAATTGCCAGAAATCGACTTTGCTGCGATGACGAAGGAGGCTACCCAAGCGCGGATCCAACAAGTACTGGAAGTGGAGGACGTAGATCAAGGATCGCAGGAAGATCGGGGTGTCGACCACCGAAGGACCTTGGATCTGGAGGCATTGGGGTAGATCCACGTTGGATCCATGCTCATCGGTCCTTCAACGTGCTTAAAACCAGGATTGCTACAACTTCGATCTTACGACACTTTGACCCAGATCGGAAGGCCACAGTGGTGGTGTACGCTAGCGATTGGGCCATCTCGGGAGCGTTGATGCAAGAATACGACCAGATCTACTACCCCGTGACGTTTGCCAGCCGTACTTTGAAGTCGAATGAGCTAAATTACGGCATCGCAGAGAAGGAGGTACTAGCCATTCTGAGGATCCTGGATCTCAATTACAATGCGTTGGTCGGGCGTCCAATCCATGTG